TACAAGCGATATTCAGTCTCTCCCTTCCAAGTCGCGGACATATTCAACAAGGTGAGCATCCAACTGCGGGTTTCAATCGAAACATCGTGTACTGTTGCTTCACGATAAACAAACCTTAAGGTGGGCCGCTGTATCCCTCCACAACATCACAATCTCTCCTTGCCGAGCCAGAAATCCAAAGACTTCGGCGATATTGGCACACCACAAAGAGAGGCTCGACTGGCTAAGTTACGTGCGCTCTTCGCTGCTCGTACTACTGCGAGCAGGGGGGCGTGACAGGAAGGTGACCCCCTTGCAATCCCAAAAAACGAGACGCCAACAGTCATGAACTTCAGGCAGGATTGCGGTCGTGGTCAAATGTCCCACGCCCCGCAGATGGCCACAGAGCCTGTCGCTTCTTTTCTACAATGAAAGTGACATTAAATACATCTCCACGCTGTAGTCTGGAAAACATCACGACAGAGTCTAAACAACGTGTGTGAGCATGCGCACGCAGGAGATATGCTCTCCTCCGCATCAAATATTTACCAAGATGCTGTCACCACGGTTGTTTCGTCTACAGGAACAGAGTAGAATTGTGCCACGGTTCGCATCAATTCGCTTTTCCGGCGAAAGGGGGGATGGAGAGTCCCTTGCCGGCCGCGGGTCAGTTGCTTCCGGCAGACCCCTCCTGCCCCCCGCCCCCAAGGTAGCGCTCCAAACCCTTCGTAATGTCGACTGCAAGAAGAGAAAAAGAGTGATGGGGGGCTTCAGAGACAAGCGTTGGGCTTCGCCGCCGTTGTGTTGAAGCAAGTCGATATCAATATACCCACAGATAACAAATGGAGATGGTCAAGGAGCTTGGGACGACTATGTAAAAACAAAAAGGAGAGCCGCATGGTATAGACGATAAGGTAGGGTGTCTGACTGGCGCCCGGAGAAGGAATGGATGTTACCAGCGGTGGCAAGGTTCGCTACTAGAGAATGAGTAACATCCAGGAGGTGATCCTCGACACAGGCCTGCTGACAGCACTACCTCACCCCAAGTAGAGCAGACAATATCGTAGAAAAGACAAGGTTGGCGCGGACACCCGCGGATAAACCATTGGGTGCTGAGATAGTACCTTATGGTCACCACACACACCACTCAGGTATTGTTGGTCACTATGCTTTGCAAAGGTGCGGAAATTGCGATTGCGGCGTCTCTGGCTGGTCGTATCCAGGCCGGGTAACGTCTACCGAAGTCTTAGACGGCAGAAGTTACCTCCCGTCAGTGCCTGAACGGTTTCGGGGAGTTGCGCCAGGATGTTGCCAACGTCTTGCGTAAGGCGGCTGCCGGCACCGCCGCCGTCGCCAGCGATGAAGACCATCTGCAGGGAGAACAGGATGCGCACACAGAAGATGGGAATTGCGGGACAGACATCACAGGGAGAGGAAGTGTAATCGACGTGAGCGCAGTTTTCCACGGAACGCGAGTTTTCGAACCGTACGGCCGGGTCAGCCGAGGCTTGGTATGAGCGGACTGCTCTCGGTACCGCGTGGCTGCGTGCGAGCGATACGCTCCAAAGCGGGGAGGCGTAGTCATGTTTCACACGTAATCTCCTCGTCACAGAGACGAGTCTTTCCTCCCATGATACCTCGTTCTCTGCCGCTGTTAGGTCACACACGTCGCCCGCTTCAAGACGCCTATCGCTTAAACGAGGCACCCCCCCAGACTCAGATCGTGCCCCCCAAGTCCAAAGCCACACATTCCTAACGAACGGCGTGTAGTCAAGCAGAAACACGTGCTGTGTTGAGATCACACGTGCTCCAAGCGGGGCAAAACACACAGGGGTTCGTTGCGGGAAACGCGGGGGTGTCACGCACCTTGTCGGTCTTGGCGAGAGGAGCGGCGATCTCCCTGGCGATATCGGGCAGCTTGTCGACGATGCTCTGCACCACCGCTGCGTTTCCAAAGTGCTGGAATGCATCACCACGTAGCTCGAGAACCTGGCACCCAAGAACGAAAAAAGGACAACAATTAAGCCCCCGAAGCGTGTGTCCAATCACGGTCGGGATGGTATCGGGAGTACTGCTCCCGATCGCAAGACATGGGGAAACTTTCGCATCGACACGCGACTTGTTCAATTCGAAGAGAAAATCGGCCATGGTCTTAACGTTCGCGTGAACGAAGCAGATATTTCACTCTGGACGCATCCATTGCTTCGAAAGCCAAGAAGTCAATACTCCCGAATATACTAGCTCGGCGAGTATACTACGGCCACAAGCAGTGAGCTGGCGTTCATACGCAGTGACATAGAGTGCATGGCCTAGATTGGGCGGCTTGTAACCCGACTTAGAACGCCACACGATGAGTGTCGAGACGGCCTCATCGTCCACAAGCACGAAAGCAGCCGCAGATGGTTACCATTCGTCCCGATAACCAATGCTACGTGCTTGGCATTGCGCAGCGTTTTACCTTAGCCTCGGCCTCTCCCTTCGCCAGAATGGCCGCCGCTTCTGCCACACCGACTTGGTTGATCTCGTGCGCTTTCGCCTGGGAAGCGCGTACAGGTACGTTCGACAGCACGCGTTAATTTCGGAACACGGGGGGCGATCGAAGTGGGCGCCGAGGAGCCCGCATCTTTGCTTGCGAGCGGCTCGCTGCAGCCACCATTGCTGCAGCATTCACCCGCGCGTACGTAGACCTCAACCCCGCGTTGCCGTTCTCCCCTTAAGCTGCAATTACATCTGTGCCCCCCCCCCCGAACAGACCTCTGCGTGGAAACGACTAAGGTTCTCCGCTGGTATGCATAGTTCACGTCCGCCTTCGACGATCGCAAACCGCCTGGACGGAAAAATCCTGTAAAAAGCAGAATTGCCTGGCCAATCCAAAGGAACAAGAGCTTGTGAGAAACATCGACCTGCCCCGCGATCTTGGTGGCGACTGGTATTCGTTCGTGGCCTCCGCGCCGAACCGCAAGCAGCAAAGAGTTCTCCGGGGAACAAAACGAACACCACGTCATGCCGGGCGGCAAGTTTCGCGACTAGAGCAGGCGGCGCATATGCCTGCTAAACGCACCGGGATGTACGGCGCACGGCTCGACCCTGGCATATGGCAAAAGTATTACCCTCCAGGGGAGCGTACGACGCACGTAATGGAGAAAGATGCCACACAAGCCACGGCGATCAGAACTCCTCCTCTAGCCTTCCCCACGACTAAACAGCGACGATATACGGCCAATTCCCCCGAAATGCTCACGTCGGCCGTGGCGCGGATGGCCTCGGCCTTGTTCTTCTCCTCGATGAGCATCGCCTTCGAGACACCCTCCTTCTGCTTCTGCATCGTCAGGGCCTCCGTACCCTGCACGTCCAGCATCACCAGGGCTTCCTCCGCCCTCTGCTTCGTCTGCTCTCGCACCACCGTCTGCCCTTGCCGGGCCTTCTCGATGTCGAACGCTACCGCCGCGGTGGCCTCGGCGTGGTTGACCTCGGCCTTGTAGGCCGCCTTCTTGATGGCTAGGTCTCGGTCAGCCGCGGCCCGCTTCTCGTCTTCCATGGCCACCTGAACAGATGGCAATTCGAGGTTGTTGTGAATTGTCGCAGGTGCAACGCTAAGTCATCGGATTGCGCCTCGTGAAAGTTGCCCAATGCTTGAACACAATGGCGTAGGTACCGTGTCTTACCCACCGCCTCTGTGTCTGGCAACAACTTGAACGGTCCAGGAGTCTGGAGGCAGATAGGTCCACACGGAAAGTAACCTGTCCAACCAATCACACTTTTCCTTGTGTAGTGTCTATCCCTTCCTGGTACTACCCACGTTCGCCTTATATTACGCCACTTAATAGACGGGATTCAGGAGAAAACCCGTCAGAGCGATGTAGGGGCTCTTGATAATTGGGATCTTGAGCACTACCAGCATACATTGGACACATTTCAGTGGTGGACCTGGTTGAACGAACCCCTGCTTGGCGACATGCCCTGTACAGCAACGTGCCCTGTAATAGCGGCCACAAAATCGCTTGGTGGTACACCTCCACCTCGACTAGTAGCCGCTACCGTACCGGCAAAGAAAGCCTGCCCTGAGTAGCGCGCTCCTGACAAGAGGGGTTGTCGATGCACCATGCCCTTCCCTGTACAAGTGGCCGATCTACTTTCCAGAATAGGCTACATCTTCCGAGGTCTGCGCATGGGCGGCCCCAAGAATGCACCCACCCCGACGTGTGCTTCCGCACGGTAGGTAGCCTCGGCCATGTTGGCGGAGCTCTCGTTTTCGGCCACGCGTTTCTTGGCCTCTGACATGTTCTTGCTCTCACCTTCCGCGGCTTCGCGCTGCGAAACGGCAACATGGGAGCGATATGGGCAGAGAACTTGTGATGCAATTGTAGATGTCGATTGGAGCGAACATGAAAGCAACGCGTTGCTTGCTATCACCCCCCGCGGCTTCTCGCTTCGGATCGAACACGGTCCCCCAGAGAGACAACAATATGCATTCTGTCTACAGCAGGACGGCGATGAACAAAATATGGCGAAGACAACGGTTGGATCTTAGGGCGAAATACGATAGGGCGGAAGGCGTTAGGGCGGAAGGCGTTTGGGCGGAAGATGTTAGGTCGAAAGGCGGCCTTCGAAAGAACGAGCGCCGGACTCATCGCGGGTGTCCTCGTACTCCCACGTTCTCGGGTGGCGACCCCGCTGCGACGCAGAGAAGGTAATAGGAAGCGCACACTGATAGGCCAGAGTGAGCCATCAAACTCGACACTGGCGCGGCGGGTCGGTGCATCTCCATTCCATGAAAACGTCCGCGTGGGAAGGGTTAGAGGGCACAAGTCTATCCAGCCGCAACAGCACATGTATCCCGAACAAACAACTCGGCGACATACTCCTCCAGAGAGACGCATCGGGCACAAAAAGACCAGAAAGTGCAGCAGGTACGAAAACAGCAGTGCAACATCGCATACACTTGCACGACACGACATCAAACAACGACAAACAAAAGAGGTGTACCTTTACGAGTGCAGTCTGAGTGGCACCGAGGGCCTCCATGCTGTAAGGTTACGCAGAGAGGAAGGTGGCATGCCATCCATTGACGAACAGGGGATACCGGTCACCGAGCCGGGATGGCGTTCCGAAAGAGAGGTGGCGACGGACAGAATAGAGGCGGAGAGAAGGACAGACCGGCAGACAGGCAGAGCGAGACAGAGTGATACGCACACGCAACAGAGAGTATAGAAACCGAGTCAGGCCACATGAGAGAAGAACGGCCAAGTAGCCCACCCAACGCATTCAAACAGGACAAAGAGCGCGCTAGAGTGTAGAGAGAAGTCGATGAGGCCTGGTCATGACCGCACGATCACACGGTAGGCATCGTTTCTCGGGGGGGGGAGGGGGAAGAAGCCCAAGCAGGGAAGCAAGGTCGGGGTAAATGTGGAAGTGCTAACTTTGAGCTAACCCTAACGGAGACGACAAGCCCCCACCTGCTACAACCTTTACTCTAGTCGCACCGCAATATATCGGCATTACTCAGGGCGAAACGAAACGCTTGAAATGTACAGAGCGCTGGATCGGTCGAACGAAACAGCACACCCCGAGACGACAACGCCTCCAAACGATATCGATCTCGATGGCGAGACTTTTCGCGCATGCATATGCCCCCCCCCCAGAACCCCAAACCAGTGCAAAAAGCGATTCGCCCTTCATAAAACTATATCTTTGTGAACGTTCACACGCAACAACCCACTGGAGCTGTGCGTACACCGTAGAATTTGTTCTCGGGAAAAATTCACGCCTATTTTCATGTGTAGGCATATTGGGCTGGAAAACAGAGACCGCGATTGTCGCACTGACTGAGCTGGCATGTGGCATATCGTCCGCAAAATAAAAATATGTTTGGGAGAGCCGAGAAAATGAGCGTACACTCACTATCCTGTGGAATCGAGGACCTGGTTCACGGTGTAGGACACGAGGGCGAAACCCATGTTGTTCAGGTCCTACAGTTCGGAAAGTGGGGTTTCACGTCGATCACAAGCCGCGAAAGGAGAACATGGGGGGCACGGGGGGATGTACACAGTTAATGCATGCTATGGTCGGTAGATCATTGACCTCGCATCCCTAAGATACAGGGATGGAGCGATATCCCGGGTTTTCGCCGGTCCAGCCTACGTTTCACAAGGGATGCACCAGAAGCTCGTCATCACATGGGAGGCTGGGGGGGGTGTTCAGTACAGCACGGAACAGGTGGGG